CCCAGCAGCTGGCTCAGTAGCTGGCTCTCCTGGACAGGGGCGGCCGAGCCCAGTGGATAACCCATGCTGGGCATCTGACAGGGTTTTCTGACCCCCTTTGAACTGAAGGAGCCAGCATGAGAGCCCAGGCTCTTCCCTGAAGCTCCTGACAGGCCCTCAGCCCGAGCTGAGCCCAATGAACCCAGCACATTCATGGGGGATGGCTTAGCAAGCAGCTTTCTGCACTTCCCAGCAGCAAAATACTCTTTCCTGGCACCTGGCCCCTGCACTGGGAGGCTGCAGTGCTGCTGCAGGATGTGGCCCGCTCCCTTCGGCCACATGGTGTTCAGGACGGAGTCCACCACCTGGGACGTCACCCCGGCCAGCTCGTGCTTCAGTGCCCGCGAGAGGACCCTCGCAGCTGAGGGCAAGCCACACGCACCACCTCTGCCTTCATCCTCCTCCTGCCCGTGCACCTCCGGGATGCTCCTCCAGAGAGGCACTTTGCATGGGTCATTGGTGGCAGCGACTTTGTCCTTGTCTGCTCTGTCTCCAGGCTTCCCAGGCAGTGGATGAGCTTTCTCAGCCCCTTCCTGGGTTTGGGCAGCGTCCTCAGAGTCACAGACCTGGGTGAACTTCTCCTGAAGCCTCCTCAGCTGCTGCTCTAAAAAGCAGAGCTGCTCCTTCAGCTGCTGGCAGCCCTCAGCATGGGAGCTATCCCCCATGGGGGCCACTCGCCTGGCTGCCCCTGCACCCTGCTGGGGTGACTTCAGCTTCCTCTTGCTCTCCCAGGGCATCTTGCCACCCCTCTCCCTCTTGTGCTCAAAAGTTGCCTCCGGGCTGGTGCCAAATGCCAGAGGTGCTGGTGGAAGGCTCATGCCTTGGATGATGCTCTCCACACGGGCCCGCTTGGCTCGTAGGTGCTGGTCAGAGAGCTGGTCCCTGTCACCAGCACAGGACATGGAAACTGAGGCATAGGTTTTGGGGACAGCCAGGGCTTGTGCTCCTTCTCCAGGAGATGCACCACACTCGTAGTCCTGAGGCAGGGCCACTGCCTGGCAGGAGGGGAAAAGGATGGTGGGATCCAGGCTCCTGCCAGCCATTCGGTGGCTGAGGAGCTGTGATATCAGAGATGGACTGGGGGAAGGCAAGAGAGAGTCGGTCTGGAAACAGGGCTCCAACTTCAGCCCCTGGCCATGCCGTGAAGTGGCATGGTCTCTGTCCTGCTCAGAGCCAGTCCTGCCATCCATCATCTCTTCTTCCTGCCTGGACATTGAAGAGCTGACCCTCAACTGGTTGGGGATCATTTCCAGGGACAGTGGCGGGCTTCCTGGGTGTCTGATGTTTCAGCCTGCTAGCGGTGCAGAGCTGGAGAAAGAGCAAGAAACATCAGCGAGCAGGACATCATACAGCAGCTCTCCATGCACATGGCTGCAGATTTTTCCTCCCAGATTTCCAGGCCATCCCTGCTCCCCTGCAAAATCTATTTCAGCAGGGAATGGCTCACACAGAAACCTCCAGGTTCTGCAAAACCAGTGAGCAGGCTGTCAGGTGTTGCTGGACACTGTCACAGCTGCCACCTACCAGCCAGGCATTCATCATACATGGAGCACGTTTCACATGGTTTGGGCCCCAAATCTGCCCGGCAGCACAGACTTCCCACACTGCCAGCTGCACCTGCACCAGAGGCATTTGGGAAAACTCCCCTCTGGGCCTGCGGGCTCAGGTGCAAGGGCTGTGAGCAGCAGACAGAGCCCCCTGCGATGCACGCCTGGGCAAAGGTGGGTTTGGGTGCTCCTGGGTGCTGGCAGAGCATGTGGACGGCAGCTACATCCCTGGTGAAGGCACTCATGGTACACAGCAGCTAGGCCAGGGCACGGCTGCTGCCTGCTTCTGCCAGCAACCAGCACCACAGCCCCAAGGCCACGGTGATGGGCGGCAGCGCTGGGGGCCCAGGGTGGCACAAACAGGCTGGTGGGAAGGGGCACGGCGAGGGTGAAAGTGTGATGTGACCTGCTGCGAGCGGGACACACTGAGATGTCCAGGCTAACACAGCACGGGGCTCCTAAGCGCTTGGCAAAACGCTGAATAAAAGGGATGGGGATGGGGATTACTGGGGAAGAGAAAAACTACTGAGCCAGCAGCCCTGGGCTTAAAATTGTCACGCTGACTCCAGGCTGGGATCCACCCCCTCCGCCTGTTTGCTCGCTCGGACAGCTTTGCAAAAGGAGGTGCAAAAGCTCAAATCCCGGGCAATTACAGAGTATCCGTCCCTGTGGGATGCTGCTTCTTCATCCACATTAATTAGCAGCAGCTCTGCATCCCTGAAGTAGGACAGTTTACATCTTTTCCAGGCGTCTTTAAAGTGCCTGAGATGCTTTTGCTATCCCCAGAAATGTCTGATCGTTTTCAACACCATCACCCTGCTGTCTACATGACCGTCTGCTCCACGGCGAGTGCCCCGGGCTAAGGAGCAGTGCAGAAAATAGATTTCTTCTCACTGTTTTCAGCAGGCTGCCTTTCTTCAAACAGCCCTGCACCCCAGGCAGGTATCAGCGAGAGCTCTACCTTTCGCAGAGCTCTAGTCTTGACAAACCAGGTATTTTCTGGGTTGTCCAACACCACTTGTTGCTCTCACATGTTCTCTCCCCAGCCCTCACAAGCATTAGGGTTACATTTTCCTAACCGTCTGCTGTGGGGGCACTCAAACTGCTCACTTCACCTGTGGCAGCGCGAGGCCAGGGTGCCGGCAGCTCTCAGTATCACCCCCACCCTTGTATCAGGAGCTTCATCGTCGCCTGCAGCCCCCTCTTAGCCTGCGAGCTGCTCCTGACAAAGCCATGCAGCAAATGCAACGCAGTCACAGATTTCACCCACCCTTCAGCCTTTCCGCATGGCCACGGGCATGAGACCGCTGCTCCTGCTACCTCACTCGGTTTGTTACAGAAACACCTTCTTTTGGCACTTGGTCATCATTTCTCAGCTCCTCTGTGTTCAACAGCAAGGTCAGGGAGCTCACCTGTCTCTTACGCTGAGGCTTCCCAGCCCCAAAAACCCAGGACGATACACTCTTTGTAAGCAGATCAACCCAGAGCTGGCAAGAAGCCCTCCACTTGCCTGAGGCTTCCAGCACCACCATCTTTCTGCCAGAGATTTGCAGGGGGGGAGCAGAGCCATGGCAGCCCAACGTGGATGGCCT